AACCGCAAGGCGAGGACACAGGTGCGTAAGTCCACGGACAGATGGCACCTCAGGCACCTGCGCTGCCTGCTACCTCACTCCACTTCTTAAACGGGGCACCGGACGCCTGCGCCTGAGACTGCGAGCTTCTAAACGCACAACTGTCATCCTCTTTAAGACGAAGAAACCTTTCCTTTCTCTCTAGACGGTATCACCGTCTATCATCAGGTTCCTTATTCATTCTTTCTGTCCTGTTTGGCTTTTTTAAAATCACTCCCTCTTTCTCTACTCTGGGCTCTTTCTCTGAGGATAACTATCAGTATTTTCTTTCTCCTCCTCTCCCTCTGGAAGAAGATCGAGAAAAGAAGCAACAGTGTCTGCGGAGAGAGAGCAGGAATTCGTCAGACCTCTCGACCTAGGAGTGGCTTTCCACGTATCGGAGCCACAGATGCTGCGCCGACCTCTGCCGGGCCAACAGCCAGGGCAGCGCCAGGGTGGCCGAACCTGCGGTCCCCATGCGGACAGACTACGCGACTCGCTGCTACACATGCTGTCAGATGCCGAGTTGACAAGTGGAACGATAGCCGACGAGGGCATATTCGCGAAGTGCACGCTGCTGCTTTTTATTTTCTTTAACTTATTAGTATTTTTTATTTGACCAGAGAGCAGAAGAGAACGGGGAAGTGAGAAAGCAGGCTGCCAGTTGTGGGACTGCAGTGCCTTAACCCACCACGCCACCTGCTGGTCCCTATGAAGTGCTCTCTTCCAAGACATTCCCAGCAGGAAGTGACAGAGACGGGGCACTGAGGAAGTAGCAGGCACGGTCCCCCGCACATTGTGGACCCAACATTGATGCGTCCACATCCCAGAACGGGCCTAGAGGAGGTAGGAGGTCAAATACTCCCTTTCATCTTCCTTAATTACAACTTAAATGATTAACCGGCCATGTCTGGGTTAAAGATTTAGATGTTAGGTTACTATAGTAACAAAACTCATTTAAATAAAAAAGTTGAAGATTAGGACCAGGAGGTGGCGTGGTGGTTAAGGTGCTGGACTCCCACATGACTGACCGCAGTTCAAATCCTAGACCTGGTGGCTTGCTTTCTCACTTTTCCCTCTTTCTCTCACACACATGCCCTACAGCAAATTAAATAATAGCAGTAATTAATATAGTTAAATAATCCTAAAAAAGCTTTAAGATTAACTACATATGTAAATCAGAACTTCAAGGTTATATTACCACAGCTAAGACAGACAGTCTTAATATTTAAAATGCAAAATTCAGTTTTAAATATTAGAACTAACTTTTTAGTTTAAAAAGAATCCTCAGATTTTGAAACAGCAGTTAGCATAATGGCTATGTCACTGGACTCCCACGTAGTTGACCGTGGTTCGCATCCCGGACCCGGTGGCTTAAAACTCACGCCGGGCGCGTGTGCATGCGTGCCCAAGATCCCGAGAGGAGAATGGAGGAGAAGGGATTGCGGCGTGACCATCCCCCCAGGGGGTGATTTCTCACTTTCTATCTGTATGTCTCTCTCTGTGTGTCTGGCAAGCGCATGTGCCCTGTAGCAAAAGCCTCTCCAAAAAAAAAAAAGAATCCTCAAAGCCCATCAACACACTTATCTCTCAGAGATAAGAGAGAAATGTGCTTTTTCCACCTTCATAATTAAAACCAGCCCTGAACCTTTCATTACAGCTAAGGATGGGAAAATCATGCCACCATTACAGAAAAGTGGAGCCCAGCCAAGCTGACGCAGTCCCTTGTGTACGTGGCCTCAGAGCTGGAAGTGACAAAGCCAACTGTGGGCTGGGGTCCCTGTCAGCCTGAAGACACCGGTGTGTTCGAGCACCAAGATGCTGAGAAGCTGGAGGCCTGGGGAAGGGGCCGTGGTGCAGCGAGCCCGGGCCAGGAGTGCTTGCTCTCACGCTCGCTCTCGCACATGAAGGTGTGCATGTGTGCTGTCAGAGAAGAAGGGAAACCAGGTGCTTTATGGACGCGTTACTGTGAAAAGCTCTCCAAGGTTCACCGAGTGACAAACACGAGAGGCGCAAACAAATGTGCACTCGTGTCACCACTCGGTTATCGGCCAGCAGGAGGAACGAGGAGCCGCCTCTGGAAGTGAAATGTAGGACTAGTGGGGAGAGAGCCGGGGGACAGGAAACGGGACGGAAACCTTCACTTCTTGTTTAATCATTTTTTGATACTTCTTTTATATCAGGTGCATATATTGCTTTTCAATTATTAAAGGAACTATTTGATTGTCTGACTGACTGTTTTTGCTACAGGGCACGTGTGCTTGCCAGGGAGGGAGAGGAGAAGGCGCTCCCCACAGGCCGGTCACACTGCAGTCCCCCACTCCTCTCCCTCCTGGGATTCCAGGCACACACACACCCTGCACATTTCTCAAGCTACCGATTTGGGACTCAAACTTTGTAGTGGGCCATGTGGGAGCTGGCTCCTCAACCACTGTGCCAAGAAGCCAGCCCTAAAGGAACGTTTTTTGATGGCCCTTGAGTTGATCTACATTTACTGACACGTCAAGGTCAGGCGAAGGAGCCCTCAGCATCCTTGAACCCCTCCTGGTACAACCTCTGCTCCCGTCTCACCCCTCCCCGGAAAGGAGTCTGATCTAACTAGTGATCCAGAGAGATGGAGCTGAGGAGAGCCCTGCCCCTCCAAACTCCCCTTCGGACCTGTCTGCCACCCACCCGAGCAGGCACAGAGGGTGTTCACCCTTCTCCTGGAACAGTGGGGGCTGGGGCTGGCGGCTGGGAGGGGGCCGGCCTGCGCTTACCCAGCTGCGGCAGAGACCTGGGTGAAACGCTGGAAAGCCTGTGCATCCTCACTGCACAGGGCTTCCCCCTCCCTCATGCCTGTCAACAGATTCTAAACCAACGTGAAGAAAGGGTGAGCCAAGGCCTAAGTCTCAACAGCCTCCGAGACAGACTGCACTGAATGAAAGAGGAGTCTGACAGACACAGCACGGTACCATGACGCTAAGTAAACACGGGCGCACGCGCAGGAGCCAACCACAGCATGCTGGGGACGTGGTGGGGCCGGGAGATGCGGAGGAGGACTATCCCTTTTCACCCCGTTTACTTCTGTGCTATGCACAATTCGCCAGCAAGCACTGCTGTGTCAGGGATGCCCATGCCCCTCCAAAATTCCTCAGCTGAAATTTAATCCCCAAAGTGTAGGTATTAAGAGGTGGGACTACACAAGGATGGGGTCATGGGCAGGATGGGTTATCACTCTCATGCCCCTCTGCCACGTAAGGCCATAGCAAGAAGAATATGTCATCAACAAAGGGGCCCTCCCTCCCCAGACACTGCACTGGGACTTCCCAGCCTCTAGAATGGCGAGAAAAACATTTGTTATTTATAAATTACCCAGTCTAAGGTGCTCTGTAGCAGCCTGAATGGACTAAAATAAACAGCACATATTACTGTGCTCATTAAAAAAGAAAAGAAAAGAAAAGAGAAGATATTAAGTGGACAGCAAAGTCAGGATTTATTTTCGCACAGAAAAACACACAAAAAATACATCATGACTTTTCTGACAACCAACACATTCCAGTAGCTTTTGCTGGAAGTTTATTAACCACAGATCAAATGCAGGTTTCCGAGCTTTACAGTCGCAAAGTCAGAATTTATTTTCGCACAGAAAAACACACAAAAATACGTCATGACTTTTCTGACAACCAACACATTCTAGTAGCTTTTGCTGGAAGTTTATTAACCACAGACACATTCCAGTAGCTTTTGCTGGAAGTTTATTAACCACAGATCAAATGCAGGTTTCCGAGCTTTACAGTCGGTAAGAGTTTAGAGGAATGGTTCTCGAAGTCTTCAGACCAGCTGCATCGGCAACACACGGAACGTGTCAGAGGTGCAAACTCTGGGCCCCACCCTGATTCTGCAAACCCAGACTCGGTCGTCTGTGTCCTACACAAGCCCTCCCTGAGCGACTACTGCGCTCGCTAAATTCTGAGAGCCACAGGCTAAGGAACAACTATACCATAATCAACTCTCTTTTGCTTTGTTTTAAATTTATTCTTCCTTCCTTCCCGTTTCCTTCTTCTACTTCTTAAACTTGACCAGAGACAGAGAGAAAGAGAGAGAGCAATCAGGCAACCAGGTCCGCCATGTGGGGGTCCAGCACATCAACCACCACACCACCTGCTGGCCCCCCACAATCAACTTTCAATTTTCCCATTTATAAGTCCTTAGGACTTACATAAAACACTCCCCCCCACCTCCACACACATGCACGCATGCACACACACAAACACAAACACATTCATAAATCTCTAGCTTTCTACCCCATCACTTTTCAGCTCGAGTTAACAAACATTTATGGAATAATTTCCAAACTGTATTACTGCAGTACCATGTGAGAATAATCTATATGAAACCCTGCAATAGAGAATAAAATGTCATCCTGAAACCACTACAGAGTTCCCAGCCCCTTTAAAGGGACTTAACTCTGTCACAAACCTGTGGCCCTCCACCCAGAACATCCTCCCCTACCAAGTAATGACTTGTGGGTTTTTTTTGTTTGTTTGTTTTGTTTTGTTTTGTTTTGAGAGGTTTTTGCTATAGGGCCTGTGAGCTCGACAGAAAGACCGAGAGAGAGACAGAAAGCAAGAAATCATCCCCCGGGGGGATGGCCACGCAGCAATCCCTTCTCCTCCATTCTCCTCTCGGGATCTTGGGCACGCACGCACACGTACCAGGTGTGAGTTTAAGCCACCAGGTCCAGGACTCGCCATTCTCCTCTCGGGATCTTGAGAACACACACACATGCACCAGGTGTGAGTTTAAGCCACCAGGTCCAGGACTCAAACCGTGTTCAACGACATGAGAGTCCAGTGACATAGCCATTATGCCAACTGCTGGTCCCATGACTTGTTACTGCGTGTATTACAACGTACAGCATTCCTGGCTCATATTTCTCTTTCATAATCCTACACAGAAAAGTGTATTTAAAATGAACGAGTATGAGCATTTACAGATACCTGTTTGGTGATCGTCTTGGCTAACGTCTTCTGTTAGATTCTGCAAGAAATATATCCATTATTACTAAGAAATCATATACCGTACAGCAAGTTTTAAAACTCAGTCTTTCACAATCCACTGATATCTTAATATACATCATCTAAATTTTTATCAAATACACTTACATACAATGACTACTTCAAAAGTTGGTAATTTTGTCTTTAAAAGAGTGACTTACTAGCTTATTAAGGGTGTGGTAGATCTTATGAATATTGGCCAGTGTTGAGAGATGAGAGTTCAGCTGAAAGTCTTTAAAAGAAAAAGGAGAAAATTCAGTGTCATTTCCTGTACTGCAAAAAGACTTAAAAAAAAAAAAAAAAAGCTTGGAAAAAATAAGTATTTTGGTATGATTATTACTAAATGAATTAGCTCTTACTAAATAAAAACAACATGCAACTACTAACTTATTTCCTAGAAATAAATTCCAATAATAAAGTTAAATCCCCAAATGTCCAAGTTTATGAAATCTGTGTATGAATTCTAGGGTTAAAAATAGAAACGCTTCAGCAGCTATAAAATCCTGCCAGCAGTGAACTCGAATTTACTGAAAAACGCCAATAATGACACAGATAGAAGACCGATCTCAAATGAACGGTTCCCTTTCCGCTTCCCTTCCCCAGAAGTACTGGTGTAGGAACCAAGCAGAAAACGACAGAAAAGTCTCTCGATGTTCAGCATTCTTACAACATACTTATTCTGTTGTCACTCACACAGGGAGCGACAGAACCCGAACTCAAGCCCCTAGATAAACACGGACACACCGAAGCACCGTCCTGCGAGCTCCGAGAGGCCGAGCCCAGCGACAGTCTCCGCGGTCCCTGCAAGTCCTGACATGTTAGTTAGTGTCCTGGAACCAGGACCAGAATCCAAACCTACTCTCCCCGAGCAGCACGTGCACCAGGCACCACCCCACTCATCTCCTGCACACGGGGGCTCGCACCAACGAGGGAGCTGCTCCGTTTAGGACCCCGACGACTGCTCCGTGAGCTCCGTCTTCCACTGGTGTCATGACTGGCACTTTTCAGTAAGTTCAAGTTCACTGCTGGCAGGATTTTATAGCTGCTGAAGTATTCCTTTTTTTTTTTTACGACAATATTAGGCCTTTGCAGCTCTCATTTCAGCTGTTCCTTTACGGTTAAATCTGCTTGCTTACTTAGCGGTCTACACAAACAAGTTCAAAGTTTACAAATAATTTCATGGTTGGATAAGCAACAGAACTATTTTCATAAAGTATCAGAATTTACGTTAATTCCTTTTCTTTCCTGTCACACCAGTAGAAAAGTGATCTAGAAAAGACACTAACGGCACCACCCTGATAAGAGGAAGGGAGGAAACCGACCCTGACCCCGCATGTTCTACATGGGCCTGTCCCAGACCCAGACCACAGGGGCCAACACCCTGGGTGCCTGCCGGCCCTCGGGGCTCCAACCCTGGGTCTTGCCAGCAGGTGGAATTCCCTGCCAGTACCGAGGGAGCCGTACCCTCTCTTCTAAATCCCATCTGAGATCCAGGTCTGGGGTTGTCGACACCACAGGCCACAGCACGCACGCGCACTGCTCCCCCAGCAGGGGCCTCACAACACTCACGACCATCGAGAACACGCCAAAGCGGGGGACAGCGTGGAGCCTGGGCTCTCCCCAAGCCCTGACACAGACACACACAGACACACGCAAACACCGCAGCAGTCCGGCCGAGCTCTCGGTGAGTGGCATGATTCAGCCCAGACCTGGATTGCCAACCTCACCGGTGCAACTGGCACAGAAAAGGTGTGGTATAGGGACCAATAGATGGTGTAACGGTTATGTCGCTGGACTCCCATGTAGTAGGCCATGGTTCGAGTCCTGGACCCAGCAGCTTGAAACTCACATCAAGTGCATATGCGTGTCTACCCAAAATCCTAAGAGGAGAATGGAGGGGAAGAGATTGTGGCGCGGCCATTCCATAGGGGGTGACTTCTCTCTATCTCTCTGTCTGTCTCTCTCTGTCTTTCCAGTGAGAAGAAGTGCCCAATAGCAAAAATCTCTTAAAAAAAAAAAAA